TTATGACATCTTTCTGAAATTTAAAAGGGTTCCAGCACTGAAACCATTGAAAGATGACAATTCAGAGAGAAAGAGATGATGAACATACAAGGTAACCTCTTGTCACGGACAAGGACCTAGTCTTTTATTTCCCCATTTGAAGTCAATGCTCGTTCTGACTTTTTTGGGGAGTAATTGAATCTCGTCATACACACAGAAGTCATAAACATCAATTCAGCATTTACAATACTTCCGTGCGTCAACAGATGTACCGAGGACACAATATCCCTCCCACGTATCTCGTAAGTTAGCTAGTGTTGAAAATTATCACGTTGTTGATTAAGTTTCCATTCCCACAGAATCAAATAATCGTACCCCGCAGAATCTGCACACTTTTATGAATACAACAATTCACTTAGTCCTACTCATTTGGACAGTCTTCATACAACTTATTCTTTTTTTGTCTCAGTCATCTACTCAATCTCATTTTAAAATATATTGACGAATTTGTCTCGACCCATCTCACACAAGTTAATTAAGTTTCATAACCGTGTATTGCATAATGTATGAAATATTCTATTCTTTTAATGTTCACATTCTACATGTGACTAATATCTATCAATAAAGGATTATTATTTCTTTATACATAATATCTCAACGCTTCTTTCTTTATGAAACGCCATTATCATACATTACTTTAACTTTAATTATATTTTGCAGAGAAGAAAAAAACGATTGCCCACCCAAATGACCATGAAATTACTCGAATCAGTATTTTCGCCACAATACTCATATCTTCTTTCTAAAGCACGTTTTCCAAAAATGATACAGTTCTCTAGGACCGACAGGATAGGGAAAGGAGTAAAGAAGTGTCGAAAAAGACTATAGAAAGGAAAGTTGCGTGAGAAAGTGTCCTGAAAAAGGAGATGAATGTGACAAAATTGTGTTTGTTTACTTTGAAAATGTTCTATTTAAATGCAGATCGATTGCAGAATGCACAGAGATCTGAATCCCCTGGGACTTTAAATATGGAACCCCGGTGAGTGTAACAATTAATTTACAATGGAAATCGACTGTTACTTATTGCAGGGAAATGCGACTGAGAGGTGTGTGGATTGGTTTCTATGTGAGACAGCATCGGGAAAATGGTGTACTCCAACCTGAAGTTCTTTGAGCAAAAACAAAGTTGCTGGAAAATCTCATGAGGTCTGGCAGCATCTGTGAAGGAAATAAAACGTTAACTTTTCGGTTCCAGTGACCCTTCCTCAGAACTGATGGTGGCTGGGAAAACATCAGTTTACATGCAGAAAAAAGGGAGGGGACTTGGTCGGGAGTAAACGTTAGGATAGAACCTAAAGAGAAAGAAGAGCAGTTGGACAGACAAACAGTTGATAACGATCAGGCTGGGAGGGTGAATAGTTGTTAATGGGAACTATTAGTGACTATTAACTGGAAGTGTGTGACGGCATGCTATGTGTTAACAAGGCCTGGTGTGTGGGAGAGGAGGCTGGGACATGTAGAGTTTAGGCCCTAAAATTATTGAACTCGATATTGACTCCGGAGGCTGCAGGGTCCCCAAGCAGAAAATAAAGTGTTGTTCTCACAGCTTGCATTGAGCTTTGCTGGAACACAGCGGCAAGCCAGAAACAGAGATGTCGGCCAGGGCACAGGGTGGTGCGTTAAAGTGGCAGGCAACAGGTAGTTCAGGGATTTTTTTGTGAGCAGAATGTAAATGTTCTGTGAAGTAGTCATCCAGTCTACGCTTCATTTCCACAATTTACAAGAGACCACATTGTGAGCAGCGAATGTAGTAGAACTAGCTTCTGGGAAATGCAGATGAAGTGTTGCTTCACCTGAAAGGTATGTTTGGACCCTTGGATACTTGTGGGGGAGTGGGGTGAGGTGGTGGAGGAGGAGGTAAATGAGCAGGTGTTGCACCTTCGCTGGTTATGTTTCGCCGGAAGTTCCTTGAGATGAAAACATTTATTGGACATGTGTTCTCCATCGTTCACCGAGGTGTCCAACAGCTCCCTCATACTACAACAGGAAGATATTACCTATGCTGCTATATGCATCTTATTTTAATCAATTTCTGAATTAATTAGTTCAGAGTTCTTGTTCTTTTCACTTTATTGTGGTTATTAAAATAAAACCGATTCGTATCTTATTTTTCATTCTACAGTAGAAAATTGAGTGAAATGAAGTACTCGAGAACAAAATACAAACTGAATATCTGCTGTTATCGTGAAAACTAGAAATAATTACAAATACTGCTCTGCAATTAGTTGCTTTCCTTGCTGCAGTTTGTGATGTCTCTCTGCCACTTTGCACAGATAATGTCTTGTTGTTTCAGCGCGAGGGAGTGCTGGATACTAAGGCGATCGACGAAGAATCCATCTGTAATAAGTGCTCCCAGCTCAAGGATCTGCAGGTCTGAACAGGTAATATTGCAGTTGACATCTCGTGTAAAGGGAGGATATAGATTCAGATTTTTTAATACTGTCACTTATGCCTCGGTACAGTGAAATGTTGCCACATACTGGCGCCGAGACATAGTAAGAACTGCCGATCCCCATTTCTGAAAAAGGGTCCCGACCCGAAATGTCAACTTCCTACTGCTCTGATGCTCTCTGGCCTGCTGTGTTCCTCGAGCTCCAGACGAGTTATCAATTCTGGTGCCATCTTGGGTTACTGAGTAAGTTTCTGAAGAAATTGTACAAGTGGTAAACTACCGAATATATTAATAATTCATTGATATCACTGAGGTGGAAACAGCTTCAAAAGTTCATCTTTCCCTCTCTGCAGACTTGAACCAGAAAACTAAAAACAATTCAGTCTAACCTAGTCGTGGGAATTCGATTGAACGTAATTCTGTGGGACAAAATAAATCTGCACTTGCGGAGGCAGAGGTTAAGCAAGCCCCGTCAGAGAAGTTTTGGTGCGGTGAATTCATGCGTGAGGATTTTTATTGAATTTTTCGAATAGGTGATCTCGAGTGCAGATGGGGGGTTTTGTACTTGACATATACAATGTGGACATCAGGTTGCAGACTTTCTCACTGAGCCGGTGTGTTTGTTTGCAGATGTTTCATCACCCTGGTCGGTAACATCATCTGTGCGCCTCGGGTGAATGGTTGGTGTCCTGTCCCGCTTGTTATTTATATGCCTCGGTTTGCTGGGGTGGTTGGCATCACTTCCAGTTCTGTTTTTCAGTGGCTTGTATATCGGGTCCAGTTCAATTTTTTAGTTGATGGAATTCCAGTTGGAATGCCAGGTCTCCAAGAATTTCCTGGCATGTCTCTGGCCTGCGCTATTATGGAGGTGGTATCTCAGTCTAATTCGTGTCCTTCTTTGTGCGTGTGTACTGAGACCATTGCGAATTGGTCGTTCTCTTGGTGGCTGTTTGGTGTTCGTGTGTCCTTATTGCCAGTTTTCGTCCAGTTTGGCCAGAGTAATGTTTCTTGCAGCCCTTGCATGCTATTTTGTATACTACATCAGTTTTATTGGCTATGGGTGTGGTGTCCTTTATGTTCATCAGTAGCAGTCGCAGGGTGATTGTTGGTTTGTGGGCTACCCTGATCCCTAGGGGTCTGAGGAGTTTTGTGGTCATCTCCGATATGTCCCTGATGTACAGTAGGGTGACTGGTGTGTCTGGCCGTGTTGTGCCTTCTTGTTGTGGTCTGTCACGGATGTAATGGCGGATGGTGCTTTTTGGGTATTCATTCCTTTTCAAAAACTCGGCATAAGTGTTCCTGTTCTGCTATGTGCAGTTCTAGGTTGTTGCAGTGTGTTGTGGCTCGTATGAATAACGTCCTGATGCAGCTCCGTTTATGGGCGTTGGGGTGGTTGCTGGTGTAATTAAGAATCTGGCCCATATGTGTCGTCTTTCTGTATATGCTCGTCTGGAGTTCCCCGTTGTACTGACGTTCCAACATTATATCCAGGAAGGGTAGTCGGTTGTTGTTGTCTTCGTTTTTTGTGAATTTTATTCCAGTGAGGATGGTCTTTATGTGTTGGTGGATTTATTCCAGTCTTGTGCTTTTGATACTCGCAAAGGTGTAATTTAAATCGTGGACCCTGAGTTTGGGTTGGATAGCGGAGAGCGTTTTCAATTGTAATCTTTTCATTACCGCTTCTGCTATTAGCCCCGATATCGGGGATCCCATTGGTGTTCCATTGATTTGTTTGTATATATGGATTGTGAGGTATAGCATTTTCAGGGTGCTGTCCTTGTTGATGCTGTTGGTGTCGTGGGCTGCCTGCCTTCCTGATTTGTCCAGCCGTGTGGCAATTGTCTCTTTGGCATAATCAATGTTTATGAACTTAAGCAGTGTTGTTATGTCAAAGGATACCACTATCTCGTCCTCTTCTATTCTGGTATCCTTAGTGATGTTGAGGAATTCTTGGGAGGAGTGGGTAGTGTTGTCAAGCAAGTATTTCAGTTTCCGTCGCAGCTCTTTGGCTAATCTATATGTTGGTGTGACTGGTAATGAGACTATGAGTCTGAGGGGTCCCCTATGTTGTGTACCTTAGGTCGTCCATAGAAGCGGGTGTGTTGGATCACTCTGGCTTCATTTTTTGGTCGTCTGTGTTGCTGATGTTTGATCTGTATAATTTCTTCAGGGTTGTTGTAATACGGTTCTTTCACTTAGTGTTGGGTCTATTGCCATCTGTTGGTAAGAGTTGGTATCTGTTAGTCGTGCGTTGGCTTTCTCGATGTCGTGAGCTCTATTAAAAATTACTGTCATGCGTCCGTTCTGCGTTGGTAGGATTGCGATGTTTACGTCTTTCTTGAGTATTTCTTGGGCTTTCTTCTCTTCTGTGTTGAATGCGTTCCACTTAAATTTTCTGTTCACTGTCACAGAAATGGCAGATGGAGTTTTATCCAGACAAATGCGAGGTGATGCATTTTGGAGGATCAAATTTAGGTGTGAATTAGACTGTTAATGCCAGAACCCTTAGGAACATTAACGTACAGATGGATCTGGGCGTGAAGATCCTCAGTTCCCTAAAAGTGGCAACACAGGTGGCCAAAATGATGAAGAAGGCAAATGGAATATTTGCTTTTAGCAGCCTGGGCATGGAGTACAAGAGTAGCAAAACATGTTGGAGCTATACAAAACCCATGTTAGGTCGCATTTGGAGTAAAGTGTGCGGTGTTGGTCACCATACTACCAGAAGGACGTGGAAGCTTTGCAGATAGTGTAGAAATGGTTCACCAGGATGTTGTCCGGTCTCGAGGACATTGACGATGAGGATAGGTTAAAACGCCTTGGATTGTTTACACTGGAAAGACGGCGACTGAGAGGAGACCTGATAGAGGCCTACAAAATTATGAGATGCACAGATAAGGTAGATAATCGGGTGTCCCCCGCCCCAGGGTTGAATTTTCAATTACAAGGGCGCACAGATGCAATGTGAGAGGGGGAAATTTTAAGGGAGATGTACGACGGAGGATTTCAACAACTGGTAGGAGCCTGGAACACACTGCCAGAAGACGTGGTGGAAGCAGGCACATTGGCGATATTTAAGGGGCATCTAGATGGTTCGGTGAATAGGGAGGGAATAAGGAATACGGACCGAATAAGTGTAGAAGGTTTTTTTTTGGTTTTAGTCAGGGTATGATGATCAGCACAGGCTTGGAGGGTCAAGGGCCTGTTCCTGTGCTGGTCTTCTCTTTTATTCTATTGTTCTTTGTCTAGTGTGTTTCAGAAGAGAACAATGTTCGGGTCTTTGCTATCTGTGGTAGATTACAGGAAAATATGGACGGGTTGCTCATGTGGGCTGATCAATGGTAAATAGAATTTGATCCAGATAACTGAAACGTGATGTATTTGGACAGGGCAAACAAGGAGCTAGAGGACGTAATGAACAGTAAATCATTAGGAAGCACACGGAACAGAAAAATCTCATTGTGCGTGCACACCAGTCCTTTAAGATATCAGAACAGTTCGATAAAGTGGTTCAGAAGGCATTTGGGACAATTGTCGATACAATGTGGAGCTGGAGGAACACAATAGGTCACGCGGCATCAGAGGAGCAGGAAAATGGATGTTTCGTGCTGGGACCCTTCGTCAGGACCATGAGACAATTGCCATCATTAGCTGATGAATAAACTTTAGATTCATAGAGTTTATGCTGGAATTATATAAGGCGTTGTTTAGACAACAGACAAAATGTTGGGCACAGTTCTGGAAGCCGTATTAAATGAGGGATTTGATTGCACTGGAAAGGGTACTTAAGAGATTTTCTCGCATTTTGCCAGGACTTGACAGTTTCACTCATGAGGACAGATTGGATAGCGTTGTTTCTCTTGGAGTAGAGGAGATCGATGGGACCGTAAGTGAGACATATAAAATTATGTGCGGTAAACAGGATTGACATTTCCCTCTTCGTGAAGGGGTCAATTACCAGGGGCACAAATTGAATATAAGATACAGGAGCTTTACAAATCATGCGAGAAAAGTTTATCTCTTTCACCCAGCGACGGATGGGGATCCAGAATTCACTGCCAGTAAGGGTGTTGGAGTCAGTAATCATCATAACTTTTAAGAAGTGTAGATACACATTTGCGACGCACTGGTAAAGTTGGCTATGAGTCAAGTGCTGTACACGAGATTAGAATAGATGAGCGTTTATTTTTGAAAAGTAACGACACGATGGGCCGGAAGACCTTCTTGTCTGCTGTAGGCATCGTGGAATGTAGGCTTACCGCAGGTCGGCCTCTCGATCGATTTTTTTTTTTCCAAGCATGTTTACCTTTAACCCTGGAGTCTTTGCTGCCTGCATCAAACGTTTGGTGCAACGGTTCCTTCCTTTTCCAACCCAAATTCCACATTGAAAAATAAATTACCTGATAAACGCATTCTGCATTTATCTCTGGGCTATGACTAATTTACAACGTAATAAAGCTTAACGAGAAAAGATCAACATAAATTGAAAAATGCAGTGTTATAAAGGCGTATGCAAGTATGGATTTAAACAGGACACTGGAAGTTAATTATGATGCTGTGAACATGATCGCAGTTAATCAATACAGATCTACTCAGCTTTTAAACACACTTATTCAAAACCAACACAATATTTCTGAAGTTGAATCAACCACCGCAATGTTCACCGCACCACACCGACAGTTACATCAATCAGTTTTAAATCTCCAGGTGGCGGGAGTAGGTTTAGCAGCGTTGTACTCCTGCGTACGGTGGTCGGGCACTCATGGGCTCAAACGGCGTATTCTGCCGCATCCTCACAGCGTCATCATTGTCTTTCCAGCTCAGTAATGTTTATCTTTTGGCTGTTAGAGACCCTGGGGCGGGGTCCCCACCATGTTCTCCTGCAGGAGGGTGGAGTCCTGCGCATTTCCAAGACCCTCCATCCCGGGTGGCGGCGTCGAAAGACCTAGGTCGACTCAGAACCACATCTGAGGAAGTGTTTGACTGGCCCAGTGAAACTGTCTCCAGTTCGGAGGCGGCAGGCGCCGAAGTGGCTGAACCAATGACAGTAGAGCAGAAGCAAATTGCTAGGACCCGAGGCACGATGTGGAAGGATAGAGACTGAAGGAGCAGAACGGGTGAAGTCTCCTGAGAGGGCAAGAGAAATTGCTGAAGCTCTTTCAGTAATATTAATTTCGTAAGAATTTTACAATTTACACAATTTATTCTGTTATTTATTCGGGACTCTATGTGGTGCCACAGCATGGTGACAATACACATTTTTCACTGTACCTTTTTGCAAGTGACAATATTAAATAAATCTAAATCTAACCCTTGATATCAATGACCTCGATAAATCCGTACTGAAAGTCCCTGAGAAAGAAAATATAAAATAAAAAGTTGCTTTAAGCAATCCAAAAGGGTTCATGTTCAACTGGAACTACCACACTGAATCCAGATAATTGTACAAAAGTGAATGTACAGTTTCAAAATGCTGTTGAACCATGTTGCCCGTCAGCTGTGATCACATGGTTGAAGAATGGTGAATGTCGAAAACTTCAGAAAACATGGCTGTATTTGCTCCCCGGACCGGAAATTTCTTGTCAGCAAAAAGATGCGCCAAAATCACCGCTAACCTTGACAATTGTTCATGTGCAGCGTTGTTTTCAACATTGAAACTGCTAATTTTATTTTCCTTTACATTATAGAATCGAATCTTACTTCGATCATTCTAAGGATTCTGGGATTTCACTTCAGATGTGAATTCAGGATGTTGCAGAAGATTCTTTTCAATGAAAAGCAAAACAAAATGCCAGCATGTCACTACATTACCTTATTTGCGTCAATTAGTAGAATTTTTAAAAAAAATCAAATGAACTATTTATCTCTCTGGAGACTACCATTGTGCATAAATTCACATTCAGAATGGCAAAACAGTTCCTGGTAGAAATACACGGGACACCAAAAGGTCTGCTGTTTGTCATTTACTGTCCCGTCATTATAGCTGTCGGGCTTCCAGGTAATACATTCATTTACGGTGAAGGGAATCACTGTGAGCTGTATCAATATTCCAAGTTCAGGCAAGGCATCTTTATTTCAACGGTATTAAATCTTCTAAGTTCACTGCAGGGCATTATTTCCCGTCTTAAGTTTGAGAATATATGCCTGGAAAGACTAATCTCTCTCTTTGAACAGATTTTATTTTCAAATTTAACAATATATGTCCGCACTTCTACAAACAAAATTTGTAATTTTGCCACAGATTCTCCCCTTTAGCAGTGCCATTACTTCACTTTATCTGAATCATGTGCTTGTTCCATGCATTATATTAGCTTTTCGGTGTGTATAACATTCTTTTAGTTCCGAAGAATGTTCACCAGGCCCAAAACATTAACTCTGCATTCTCTCTCCGGATGTTGCGAGACTTGTTGAGTTTTTCCAACAATTTCTGATTTTTTTACGTTCTTTTATTTTATTGAGACTGTAAATCTGGATCAATATGTACGCAACCATCAGGTTGTAGATCTTACTATATTATGGCGTTTGCACGTTTTCTTGGAGAGAAAGTATTACAGTGATATTATGTTGTGAGTGCATTTAAATTGTTAAATCTCCTTTGGGTGATTGGTTACACTGTTTTCATGGTCCATGGATGTTGACAGTATCAATAGATTACGCATAAACGAATAACTGGTTAAACAAAGAAGCTAAATATTATCCAATTATTATAAGATACAATTAATTGGATAAACATTATTTCACATTTTTAACACGTGCCAAATGATGACCACAATAATTAGATTTGTTCTTGAATGATTTCTATTTCTTCCTGAACGGAATTGTGCAGCTTTTCTGCCTTCAGTCGCTGAAATAGCTTTGTCTCCTCCGTTCCCTTCTTCCTCTTTACTTGCTTATGACGGGTCCATAGTAACACCTGCTGTATCATTCTTTCCTTCCTCTTTCTACTCTCCGAAAATGCATTGCACTCTACCTTTATTGTTTCTTTTTTTTTTTCACTGAGAAAGACACAAATTGGCATAGCTTCTCGTTTTGCATTGATAAGGACAATTCGCAAGACATACCAACATAAATTGTAAACATTTATACTGCATGAGAAGAGAATGTGTTTGTCTGCAAATGAATGATAACTGGGAAAATGTCTTTCAGCAATATTCTGTTCAGCCTACAAAATAACCATATATTTCCTTCACTGTTTTTAATATACACAGTCTGACAGCATAATTTCATTGTCCAGCATATAATAATTACCATGACAATTATCGTTAATTCCAACAATTCAGAATAATGCTGCGGAGGTATTGCATAGCAGCAGATCAACGACTAATTTCTCTGAATGGGAATCACAATCAGAGAGTTCGAATCCATCGTTTTGGATGAGTTAGATATTCCCTAAGCATTTCATTTGCAATCAGATGACCTTAGAGTTATGTCAGTCTGATAGGTAGAATCCTTTCTGCAACGTGTAAAAAAAAAGTCAGTTCTCTTCTCTGAATTGCAAGCCATTTGTGTGTACTTATTCAATAAATTAATGCACAATATTTTACTGGGTTAAGACGTATTTTTGTCCATCAGGACGTACCACTTTTGAATAGATTCCACATTTATATATGCTGGACTAACGGTTTTTCACCTTGACTTTCCCACCAATATGATTATTATTGCAGGCATGCAAGTTATCAAGCGAAAACAATTTTTTCGTACTCCAGGTGTTGTCACAAAGGTTTAAATCGCACTTGGATCCTGTAAAAGTGGTTATTTTGCTGAAAGCTAGCTAAGTTTCTTTGATATAATCACTCCTTTTGTCAGTCGCTATTTCTCTCACACATGCAGACACACATGCTTTCAGTGTGATCAGTACTTGGAACAACGATGTTGTGGCCATTACGGAGACATGGATAACACAGGGGTAGGAATGGTTGTTGGATGTTCCAGAGTATAGATGCTTCAATAGAAATAGGGAGGGAGGTAAAAGAGGTGGGGGAGTGGCATTGCTAATCAGGGACGGTATCACAGCTGCAGAAAGGGAGGTCGTGGAGGAGGGTTTCTCCACTGAGTCAGTATGGGTAGAAGTCAGAAACAAGAAAGGTGCAGTCACTTTATTGAGAGTTTTCTATAGAATCCCCAATAGCAACAGAGACACTGAGGAACAGATTGGGAGGCAGATTTTGGAAAGATGCTGAAGTAATAGAGTTGTTGTCATGGGTGAGTTCCACTTCCCTAATATGGACTGGAAACTCCGAAGTGCAAATAGTTTGGTTGGAGCAGATTTTGTCAGATGTGTCCAGGAAGGATTTCTGACTCAATATGTAGATACGCTGAAGAGAGGGGAGGCCATATTGGATTTGGTGCTTGGCAACGTACCAGGTCAGGTGTCAGATCTCTTGGTGGGAGAGCATTTCGGTGATAGTGATCACAACTCCCTGACTTTTACTATAGTTGTGGAGAGGGATAGGAGCAGACAGTTTGGGAAAATAGTTAAACTGGGGGAGGGGGAATTACAATGTTATTAGGAAAGACCTACGGAGCACCAGCTGGGATCAGATGTTCTCAGGGAAATGCACGATCGAAATATAGGGGTTGTTTAGGGAACAGTTGCTAAAAGCACTGGATATGTTTGTCCCACTGAGGCAAGGAAAGGATGGTAAGGTGAAGGAACCTTGGATGAGAAGACATGTTGAACACCTAGACAAGAGGAAGAAGTAGGCTTACTTAATGTTGAGGAAGCAAGGATCGGACAGGGCTCTAGATATCTAAGAGGTAGCCAGGAAGGAACTGAAGAATGGACTTAGGAGAGCTAGAAGGGGATATGAGAAAACCTTGGCAGAAAGGATCAAGGAAACCCCCAAGACTTTCTATACTTATGTGAGGAACAAGAGGATAGCCAGAGTGAGGGTAGGGCCAATCAGGGACAGTGGAGTGAACTTGTGTGCAGAGTCAGAGGAGGTAGGGGAGGTCCTTAATGAATACATTACTTCAGTATTCACCAGTGACAGGGACATTGACGTTTGTGAGGACAGCATAAAACAGGCAGATATGCTCAAACAGGTTTTTGTTAGGAGGGAGGGTGTGCTAGAAATTTTGAAAAACATGACGATAAGTAAGTCCCCTGGGCCAGACGGGATATACTCAAGGTTAGTACGGAACACAAGGGAAGAGATTGCTGCCCCATTGGCAACGATTTTTGTGTCCTCACTGTCCACTGGAGTAGTGCCAGAAGACTGGAGGATGGCAAATGTCATTCCCTTGCTCAAGAAACGGAATAAGGATAATTCTGGAAATTACAGACCAGTCAGTCTTACTTCTGTGGTGGGTAAATTATTGGAGAGGATTTTGAGAGATGGTATTTATGATTATTTGGAAAAGCACAGTTTGATTAGAAATATTCAGCATGGCTTTGTGAGGGGCAGGTCACACCTCACAAGCATTATTGAATTCTTTGAGGATATGACAAAACACATCGATGAAGGCAGAGGAGTGGATGTGATGTATATGGATTTTAGCAAGACATTCGATAAGGTTCCATATGGTAGGCTCATTCAGAAAATAAGGAGGCACAGGATTCAGGGAAATTTGCACGTCTGGATACAAAACTGGCTTTCCAATAGAAGGCAGAGGATGGTAGTAGATGGAAAGTATTCAGCCTGGAGCTCGGTGACCAGTGATGTCCCACAGGGATCTGTTCTGGGACCTCTGCTCTTTCTGATCTTTATAAATGACTTGGATGAGGAAGTGGAAGGGTAGGTTAGCAAGTTTGCCAATGACACGAAGGTTGGTGGAGTTGTGGACAGCGTGGAGGGCCGTTGTAGGTTGCAACAGGACATTCATAGGATGCAGAGTTGGGCAAAGAAGTGGCAGATGGAATTCAACCCAGGAAAATGTGGTAGGTCGAATTTGAATGCAGAATACATGGTTAATGGCAGGACTCTCGGCAGTGTGGAGGAACAGAGGAATCTTGGGGTCCATGTCTATAGATCCCTCAAAGTTGAGACCCAAGTTGATAGGGTTGTCAATAAGGTGTGTGGTGTGTTGGCTTTCATTGGCAGGGGATTTGAGTTGAAGAGCCGTGAGGTTATGCTTCAGCTCTATAAGACTCTGGTTAAACCACAATTGGAATATTGTGTTCAGTTCTGGTCACCTCATTAGAGGAAAGATGGGGAAGCTTTAGAGAGCGTGCAGAGGAGATTTAACAGGATGCAGCCTGGACTGGAGGGCAGGTCTTATGAGGAAAGATTGAGGGAGCTAGGGCTTTTGTCATTGGAGCGAAGAAGGATGGGAGGTGACTTGATAGAGGTTTACAAGATGATGAGAGGCATATATAGAGTGGATAGTCAGAGATTTTTCTTTCCCCAGGGCGGAAATGACTATTATGAGGGGCCATAATTTTAAGGTGATTGAAGGAAGGTATAGGGGAGATGAAAGAGTTAGGTTCTTCACACAGAGAGTGGTGGGCGTGTGGAATTTGCTGCCTGCAGTGGTAGTGGTGTCAGATAATTTAGAGACTTTTAAACGACTCTTGGATAGGCACATGGAGCAAAGTAAAATGTAGGGTATGCAGGGAAGATTGATCTTAGTAGGAGAATAGGTCGGCACAACATCGTGGGCCGAAGGGCCTGTACTGTGCAGTACTGTTCTATGTTCTATGCTGCTCACACTTGTCTACACACAAATACATACTTTTTAGCATCTGACCCAACATCTCCCTTTCAACCTGTCTGTCTTTTTTTTTCAGTGAACATTGCAGTTATTCTAATCTTTTCTCGAGGAAGGTGTGGTCTGCCCAGATGTCTTGCTGATTACCTGGTGTCCATGGCAGTGACGGATCTATTGGTTATTATCACTGCTGTCATACTAAACCGGATCACTGGCATTTATTTCCCATTCAGTTTCATGTCTATCACACCTGTTTGTAGCCTGCGGATTGCTTTAATATGTGGATCCAAAGTCTGCTCTGCCTGGCTAACACTCGCTTTCACCTTTGATCGATTTGTGTCCATTTGTTGCCAGAATTTGAAAATTAAACACTGCACCAATGAAACAGCTCTGTGGAGACTGAGGAATACTCTACACACTGTGCTATCTAAGAAATATCTTCTGGTATTTTACATTTGAACCTCTGTACGTAATTGACAATATTCCTTGGTTTTGTGTTACCAAATCAACATTTTACAAGTCACCAGCATGGGTCGCATATGACCTGATTCTCATGATTTTTAGCCCTTGCCTGCCATTCATTGTGATTTTGCTGCTCAATGCTCTTACTGTTAGGCATATTGTAGTGGCTAATCAAGCTCGCAGAAAACTCCGACCCCAGAGAAGTGGAGACAATCAGAGAGATCCAGAGATGGATAAACATAGAAAGTCCATTGTTTTACTCTTTGCCATCTCTGGTAGCTTCATAGCATTATACATGTTGTATTTTATGACCGTAGTCTATGTTCGCATTGCAAATGTGACCTATTTCACGGATTCTGATTTCAGTGACTCAACGTTTATTCTTGAAGAAAATGCATACGTGCTTCAGTTTTTGTGTTCCAGTGTTAATCCATTTATTTATGCAGGAACTCAGAGTAAGTTCAGAGAGGAGCTAAAGAGGCTGATATTGTATCCGTTTGCTACGAATGTGAAATTCAGCATTTGATAAGTTCAATAAAGAAAAACATTAATCCTGTATCATGTTGCTGTCTCATACTCCTGTTGGATTCACACAAGACCTCATATTGAAGATCTAAAATGATTTCCTTTGAGACCATTAGCACTCTGGAAATTCCATAATTTACGAAAATAACTTAATTTTTCCACATCTTTGATTTTGTAACTTGTTCCCAGTTAGTTTTCAACTCATTCGCTGTTGCTGACAGCATCCTGATGAGGATACACTAGCCTAAGGTTTTAGTTTCATTGGAAAACCAAAACATCTAAAGTCTGATTTGTAATTAGATACCAATATTAAGTAGAACTAAGGACAATCAATATTTGTGCAGTATCAAGGATATTGATTTTATATCCCTCTAATATGCCTTGAAGTGAAGAGACATGTTGTCCTCCAATTTTTCTCTCTGCTTACTATGAACCACCCTGCAGCCACTTATCCATGTTTACAAATATGGGACGAGAGAAAGAAAAAATGCAAACAATTAATGCATAAAATAAATGGCTCATCTTTTCTTGCCCCTGCCAAAATACAATGTCAACTCCAGTGACCATAAGGGTGATAAAATTATTTCAAACAAAAAGGAAAACAGTACAAATGAAAAGCTTTGGAATTTAATAAGTAATGTTCTTCAAAATGATTAATTGACCATATCCACTCTTAATTTTGGTTTGAGTTGTGTTTCACGAGTTGACAAACTGATACAACGGCGATGGATTCATAAATTCACCATTACAATTGAATGCTACAAATTATTTTAAAACAACTACGCAATTAACCTTTCTTCCTGGTTTCACTGAAACGTTCATATATTCGAACAATTCAAAATCTTCTAATAGAAACTGTGCAATTT